CTCCCTGAGACAATCAAGGCAGGATACTTGAACTGCCGCATCCGCCCGTACGTCCCCAACCCCCAGCGGTGCTTCCGTTGCCGGCGTTTTGGTCATGGAACACGCAGCTGTCGTGGGAAGGAGATATGTGCGAAGTGCGGTAGTCAAGGTCATGTTTCCGATACTTGGGAGGCGGCTGTGGCCCACTGCGCTAATTGCGGTGGACCGCATCCTGCTGATTATCGGGCATGTCCCTCTTGGAAGTTAGAAAAGGACATCCTTACCATCAAAGCAAAAGAAAACATAAACATACCGTACCCAGAAGCCAAGAAGCGGTTCTCCTTTTTATCAAAGGGGAGTTTTGCCGAGGTGGTGCGCAGGGGCCCTGCACCACGCTCGGAGTCGAGGGCCACTCAGGTCTCTCCCGAGATCCTGGCTGCCGGCTTCAGGGCCCCAGCTCCCCGACAGGGGCAGCAGCTGCTTCCTCCAATCCCTGGCGGTAGCACGCGTGCTGCTCCTCTTTCCAAGGACAGGCCGGCAGCAGCCGCGCCTGCCCCCTCTCCTAGGTCCCCCGCTGGGGAGACGGAGCGAACTTCTCGCTCTTGCTCGCTAGAGAGGGCCCCCCTACGGAAGGAGCAGCATGGTGCCCATGCAGCTCCTGTGAAAGGAGGGGACCGGACGAGCTCAGACGACTCGTCGCCCAGCTCGTCTGCAACCCCCCCAGCCGGTCGTGGCCGGGGTTTGCCCCCCCCCCCCCCCCCGGACACCTGGCCGGACAAGTGCTGCTCATAAAACAACGGATACCTCTCAGGAGGTGGAGATGTTGACGGACGCTGACAATCTGTCCACTCCTGGGTCCGACCAGGACAATATGGAGTGGGAAACGCCCTCTAGTAAACATAAAAAGAATAAGAAGCCTGTAGTCCCTCCCAAATGATGATCCCAATGTCTTCCACCTAGTTTGTGTTGACTCTACAATCTTACTCATTTTATTAGGTTTATTTTTTCAGTAGTATATTTACATGCCTTTTACAGATGACTAAGTTACATTTTATGCAATGGAGCTGTTGCGGTATTTTAAGAAATATTGATCATGTGAACTATTTCATGGATCAGCTTTGGCCCATCGCTCTCGCCTTGCGAGAAACCCATCTTCGCACTGATTCCTTTAATATTTTAAGACATCATCAGGTTTTTAGAAAAGATCGCCCCTCTTCCACCCCTTCTGGTGGTGTTGCAGTGGTCGTGCAGAGTGGAGTTGCTTGCTCTCAAGTTCCGCTGTGCACGCCGCTGGAAGCTGCTGCAGTATGTCTCCTTCTGGACCGCCTTGTAACAATTGTTTCTTTATACTTACCACCTAACATTCCTTTAAACCTTCAAGAGCTGCAGGGACTTATAGGACAGCTCCCGCAACCTTTTTTTTAATTTTGGGTGATTTTAACGCCCATCATCCTATGTGGGATAGTACCCGTCAAGACTCCCGTGGTGGTGCGATTGAACGTCTTTTATTGTCTTCAAGGCTGTGCCTACTTAACGGGAGAGAGCCAACCTTTTTTAGTGCGGCACACAACTCATTCACATCCATTGATCTTTCTATTGCTTCACCTTCATTACTTCCTTGCTTCTTTTGGAAGGTTCTTCATAACCCTTTTGGAAGTGATCACTATCCAGTTGTTTTAGAGAGTACCGTTCCATTGCCTAATCTTTTAAAGAGGGTCCCTAGCTGGAAATTAGACAAGGCAGACTGGGCGCTTTTTAATCTTCACTCCACTTTAGATCCTTCGCTTCTTTCGTCTATGTCCCCTGAGAACGCTACACTTTATGTTTCTGAGCAGATACTAAAGGCTGCTCAGCAGTCCATTCCACAGACATCTGGTAATATACCCAAAAAATGTAAACCTTGGTGGAATAAGGAGTGTGCCACAACCCGGGCGGACCAAAATAGGGCGTGGGGCAAATTTCGCAGATACCCCACTTCAAGCAACCTTGTTGAGTTCAAGCGACGAAAAGCCAAGGCTCGTTGGACTAGGAAGCAGGCAAAGCGGAAGTCGTGGATGAAGTATCTTTCTTCTTTAACCAGCTTTGTTCCAGCCAAAGAGGCCTGGGGCAGATACAGGAAAGTAAATGGGGATTACAGGTGCTTTGCCATTCCAACGTTTAATGCCCCTTCTTCATCACTAAAAGATATTGGCAACATACTTGGGGAACATTTTTATAATTCATCTAGTTCGACCAACTACAGTGATACTTTCGGACAGTCAAAAGCTCGTGCAGAGCGACAAAAGCTTGTCATGTCAGGAGGAAATTCAGCATCTTATAACCAACCATTTACGCGATGCTAGCTTGAGATGGCTCTTAATGTGACAAAGCTTTCTGCCCCTGGTCCCGATGGAATTCATTATGAAATGCTGTGCCGCCTTTCTCCAGAATCCCTTGAAAACCTTCTCTTGTTTTTTAATCTTTTGTGGGAAAAGGCATGTTTCCCTCGGGCTTGGAAACACGCACATATCATCCCCCTCCTAAAGCCTAACAAAGACCCCTCACAACCATCAAGCTACCGCCCCATTGCACTGACAAGCTGCCTTGGGAAAACATATGAAAGGCTTATAAACAGGCGACTGGTCTACATATTAGAAAGCCAGAGGGTATTTGATAACAATCAATGTGGATTTCGCCAAGGTCGATCTACCCTTGACCACTTAGTTCGCCTGGAGACTGTGATACGTGAGGCATTTGTAAACAGGCAGCACTGTGTTGCGGTTTTTTTCGACTTAGGAAGGGCATATGACACAGCGTGGAGGTATGGGATTCTCCGAAACCTGTATGCCTGTAATATCCGGGGCCGTATGCTGCGAAGCATAAAGGAATATCTGACAGACGGGACTTTACAAGTTCGTCTCGGCTCAGCCCTATCTGATTCCTTTGTTCAAGAAAACGGAGTCCCTCAAGGGGGTGTTTGAAGAGTTACTTTGTTTTTGCTAACAATGAATTCACTGGCACAACTGCTGCCACCCTCAATTTCATATTCTCTTTATGCTGATGATATACAGATTTCATCATCGTCTTGTAACCTTTCTAGTTGTGTACGCCAGTTGCAGTTAGCCATAAACAAACTGTCCAAGTGGGCCGACGAAAATGGGTTCAAGTTCTCTGCTTCAAAAACGGTCTGTGTTCCCTTTTCTTTGGATCCATCCCTGGAATTGAATGGAACTCCTATACCTGTTAGGAAAGAGCACAAATTTCTTGGTGTGATATTTGATAGAAAGCTTAATTTTGTTTCCCACCTTAAAGCGCTGAAGCAAAGATGCCTTCAGTCGACAAACTTTCTGAAAGTTTTATCTCGCAAGTATTGGGGGTCTGATAGAAAATGTATCCTGCAGCTATACAATGCCCTTGTACGATCCCGCCTTGACTACGGTGCAGTAGTGTATGGGTCGGCTCGGCCCTCTGCCCTTGAGATGCTGGACTCAGTTCACCATCTCGGCTTGCGACTGGCAACAGGAGCCTACCGGACGTCCCCCGTCCTCAGTTTGTATGCAGAATCTAATGAGCTGTCCCTTAACAAACGACGTACATATCTTAGTCTAACATATGCTTACAAGATTCTGGCCGACCCTCAGCATCCGACGTACTCTTCCCTCACAAGTTCAAGGTTCTATCGCCTTTTTGAAAATAAATCAAGCATTGTAAGACCGTTAAGCTTCCGCATTGAACATCTTCGCTCCTCGGTGGACCTTTCTCTGGACCAGGTCGTCCTCGTTCGGAAAGTCAACGGTATTCCACCTTGGAAAACACAGCGAGTTGAATCCGACTGGTCTCTCGCAAAGTTCAACAAGCACGGCATTTCCCATGCTGTAATTAAGCGAGAGTTTGCTGAACTGCAAAATAAGTATGATGGTTATCTTCATGTTTATACAGATGGCGCCAAGACTTCATCTTTCGTCGGTTGCGCTGTATACTCTCAAAGCTTCTCCAAGGTTAAACGAGTTGATTGTATTGCCAGCATTTTTACTGCGGAGCTCTACGCGGTATCAATGGCAATTGACTATATTATCAGTAGGAAAATACTGAGGGCGGTCCTGTTTGGTGACTCTCAAAGTGTGATTCTTGCAGTTTGCTCTCTTAAAGATACTAGAAATATGCTTGTACAACAAATTCAATATAAACTTAACTCTGCTTTGCATGGGGGTCAAAATATAAAATTTTGCTGGGTACCCAGTCATATTGGCATTCAGGGCAACGAAGAAGCCGACAAGCTTGCAGGATCTTCTGGGAACCTTCCACAATCGCTGTCCTGTTTACCCTATCAAGATATTAAGCCCTTGGTGAAGTCCTCGATTCTTCATTCTTGGCAATTGGAATGGGACATGGAGTGTGATAACAAGCTCTATGTTACCAAACCTGCATTGGGAGTTTGGGAAAGCTCTTCATGCAAGAGCCCACTTCATGAAACGTTGTGTCGCCTGAGAATTGGACACTCATTTATAACTCATAGGTATCTGCTTTCGGGAGAAGATCCACCCGTGTGTGATCAATGTGGTGACAGGCTCACTGTTTTACATATCTTGTGGTTGTGTCCCGGCCTTCAGCCCAAGCGCCGCATTCATTTCCCTGAATTTTTTCAATATCATATATCATTTCATCCTGCTTTCCTTATGGGAGAGAATCCCCTAGTCCCTTTTGAACGAGTAATAGAATTCCTTAGTAGTACTGGCCTTTTACACCGACTCTAGCCTTTTGGTCATGCTTTTGTAAAACCCTTCCTTTAGTACAACGATCCTTACAATTAGTTCGGCGCAGATGGCCTCGTAGCTATTGCGCCATAAACCCCCAAAATCTCTCTCTCCAAGTGTCCAGGTTAAGGCCCCAGTTGGCTCGCCGGGGCCTTAGCTTATGGCGTTTGTCAATTCGTGCCGAGACAGTTCCCAAACGTGGATTTGCGAGACTGCCTTACCTCAAACAAAACACTAAAAGAAAAAACTCTTTATCTTTATTTTTTATTTTTTTGTTTTTGTTTTTAGGTTTTTTGGGTTTTTCTCACTTACCTTAACCTCTCTTTAGGGGCCAAACCCACGCCGGAAAGACGTCCGCCAAACCCGGCGCGCCAAGCTCCCGCACAATCATCGGCGGCGGTACGCCGAGCTCGAGAGCCACCGGCACCGGAGCCTTCGGCATCAAAGGGACCCGGCAGGAGGCGAAAGTCTACCTCTCCCAGGAGGGTAACTGGCCCTTTCCTCGCAGCCTTCGCGTGGGTGCCGCCATCTTGAAAAATACGGCCACTAAAGCCGCTCAACTAGATGTGCCAAGAGTAGGAGGAAGAGGTCCCACGCATCCCGGCCGCTTCGGTACGGCGAGGCGGCGCAGACGCGGACGTACCGGAGTAAGGTGCCGACAAGCCCGTGTAGCCGGCAGCTCCTTACTGTACGCGGAGAAGCGGCAGAACGTTGCCCGTGAGGTCGGAGCTGCCTTCTTTTCAAACCTGCCATGCCAAAAAAAAAGTCAGCGTTGTTTATGCCACGAAAACAAAGTCAACCAGAGTTCCAACGACCTCCAGTCGCTGCGGAGAAAAGCGCACGGCTAACCCTCCGTCTGCTTTCTCTCCCCTCTTTTCTGCCGCCGTCTTTATCGTCCCTTTTCTCGGGACCAACAAAGTCGGCGCTCACGATTTTTCGTGCTCTGCTCTTGTCTTTACCCACCCGGTTGCACGGGTGCCGCCATCTTGAAACCGTCAGACGCGGGCGCCGAAGCCGCCGAAGGAGCGTCGCTCACAAGTAGCGACGTTTCCCCGGCCGTCTCGCGGGCATCATTAATGGCACCCGGCAACAGTGGGTGTAATGGTTACAATGGAGAGATGCAACTTCCTGTGATTTTTGTACGGTGTGTGGGGCACCGTGCAATCAAACGCGTCGTTGCGTAGGTGTAAGTGAACGCAATTTGGAAGTATTTAGTGCGTGGATTGTAAACAGGTTAAAAGATATATATTTCAGGCGTCTGGGATGACTTGCACCAAATCGTAAAAGAAAGAAACGGGGCGCTTTCCCATTCACAACTCGGCCCTTAAAGGAATAACTGAAGTTTGCTAATTGGCCTTAATCGACCGAATAATTGGGCAGATTGAGAAAAATGTGGCAACTATGTTAAGACGCTTGCTAACGATGTACAGTTGGTTTTCCTTCCGTGGAGGACTCCGTTTGCTTTTTAGAGCGCAGCTCTTAGGGGCCCGTTCCCGGCTTGAGCGGTGTCGCCGTTGGCGTCGGCGTAACCAAGGTCACGCGACCCCCAAGGTCACGTGACCCCTCCCCCAGGGTCACGCGCCACCCAAAGTCACGTGACCCCGAGGTCACCTGACCCCCCCCCCCCCGAGGTCACCTGCCCCCCCCCCCCTCGAGGTCACGTGACACCCCTCACCCCCACCCCCCGAGGTCACGTGACCACCCCCAGAGTCACGTGACCCCCTGCCGAGGTCACGAGACCTCCCCGATGACGTCACCGTCACTGATGACGTCACCGGCATTCGCATCGTCATCGTCACTGATGACGTCATCACTGAAGTCACTGATGACGTCACCGGCATCCGCATCGTCATCGTCATCATCACGGATCACGTCATCAGTGACGTCACTGACATCCGCATCGTCATCGTCATCATCGCTGATGACGTCATCGGAGTCCGCATCGTCATCGTCACTGATGATGTCATCAGTGACGTCACTGATGACATCATCGGCATCGTCACGTGACCCCCAAGGTCACCCCAAGGTCACGTGACCCCTCCCGCAGGTCACTTCACCCCCCCCCAGTACCCTTCCCTCCTCCTCCTCAAGAGCTGCGCTCTAATTCGGTGTTACAGGGAGTTGTAAACGGCTTCCACTTTTTTTAAAGTTTGATGCAAGTAATCTGGGACACCCCGTAGACATTGTCTCGATGTTCTCTAAAAAGCATCAAATGTAAGGGTTTTAAGAATCCCCTTTTCCTAAAGAAGTTAATTTTATTATCTCGGAACTGTTTTCAGCTACGGCCCGCCACGGACCATAAATACTGCTCAAACAAACGAGAAATCACATAATTTTAAGAGATTGTAGCAAACAGGTAACTTGTAGTTGTTGATTGTGTGCATGAAGTTCGCATTTTACTCCCACCAAAGCGTCCAAAACATTCCCCCGATCGGCGCATTTACCGCGTCACAAGAAAAATGGTCCCTTGATTTCCGCCCGATGGCATCGCAGAAGGGCGGTGTCCCAGCGGCGGTGTGTTCATTGCCACTTCAAGACCACTTTCGGTGTGCGGGCAGAGCTTACTCCGCTTTTGGCGGGGCTCTCTTGCAGAGACGTAGCGCATGACAACATTCGTGCCGTCGAGGCGCAAGACACGTGCAGAGTTCCTCCCAGCAGTGTCAGTGCGAAGCAGTATGCAGTGCATTCTGTGTTAAGTCTGCCTTTGGCACAACAATGCAAGAAGAGCTTTCTTTTTTTGTGTGTTTATTTGGTATTGATTTGCCTAACTGCAGAAATTGCTAGAGTTCTTTTCTTGAAGGTGCGAAATGCTTTTCAACGGAGCTCCACCAATTGCAAGATTTCGCCCATCCGTCTGCTTGTCGGTGCATTTCCCGCCAGGTTTAGCGGTAAAATTAATAAATGTATAGCTTCTTTCCGAGACGACCGTTAAGTGTCTTCTAAGCAAATTTAGACGACCGCTCCTGAAATACGGCATTTCATGCAGCGTAAGACTTTAGAAGAAAAAAAAGTCGCCATCAGCTTTCTTTTTAAAAATGGCGGTTGACACTTTAGCCCGGTGGAGGCCAATCGCCAGGAGCTAATCAGCGCGGTTGCCACTCCTCTTCTGCCCAGGGCAATGTGAGGCCGAAGCTTCGTGCCCCACCCTGGCTCAAGAACATCCGTCACCTCCAGAGGACTACCCGGCTCCTCATTCCGCGGCTGTCGTTTGCGCGGGTGGTGAGGGAAATACTGCAGGGTTTGGCCCCCAGTCGCTCCGACCGCTACTACATGCAGGGGCTCGCCTTGCAGGCGCTACAGGTGGGCCTGCCTCGTCTTTCGGTCCTCGTCGTGGCGCACATACCGATCGCCGTCGGCAACGACCCGCGTCGTCTGTCCGTCGACGTTTGCCCACATACCGTAAAGTCCTGAGAGATAGCTCACCAAAATAGTTAGAAAATTGGGTGAAAATGAGGGGTGGGCTAACTTTCGGTGTGCAGTCGAGGAATGTTGAAAAAATACTATTTTTTGATTGTGTGGCCCTGTCGAAGTTGTTATCGCAGCAAGGGGCAATGAAGCAAAGATGACTGTACTTTCCAATCAGCAGTGTTCGCTTATATCTCGCCATAGCTAACTAGGCGCATTTGCGCCACGGTCATCGTTGATCCGAAACTATGATTGCAGTATAGACCACTTACAACATAACCGCTTATAGTGCAGGACTTGGTATAATGCGGTTTTTTTAAACCACCGGTTCGCCTCCCATAGAACTCCATGTAATTACATACCGCTTAAAATTCAGGCGTGCGAAGGGAAATACCGGTTATAATGCGGTTTCTGGCACAGCCCGCCGATCGTGCCGACGACCCGAGCAGCGAGCACGCTTCCCTGTGCGACACTAGATAACGGCGCTGACGGCGCGAGCCGCAAGCGGAACTCGCGGGGCACGGAGGTTGCTCGAAGGAGCGGGGAGAAGCGAAAAGAGAGGGAGAGGCTTCGGTTTCCATAGCGACGGAGGGACGCACGCACGTGTCGTTCACGTGCGTGCGTCCCTCCGCTGCGTTGGGAACAAACCGCAACGACAGACCAATCGCAGGTCGAGGAGAAGTATTCACACGCACTGCATGCCGGTCGCGGGCCGGCTGCTTCTATCCGCAAACATGGCGTCGGTTGTGATCGTCGTCGTAGACGGCGTTCATCTCATCGTTCGCGTAAAAGCGCTATCCTTGACTGTGAATTTTCGTTGTGTGTCGCTATGATAACCCAGCACATACTAGAAGGGAAGATCCACCTACTCGTGCGGCGATGTCGTGGCGGCGCTCTCAAGACGGCGGAAACGCCCGTGTCGTTGTGTTTGTTTACTTCGACTACAGTGGTGATTTCTAAGCATTTGTGTCCTCAAACATCGCCCGGATTTCTTATTTGGCGCGTTTCATCCGTGTGCTCAAGTACAAGGTATTACTGGCGCGTACCGTATGAAGGATGCGAATTTTCACGCGTTTTCATCTCCCGAGAAAAGTGATTGGGGTTACTAATCCTGAACACTCGTAACGTCCGTCCGCAACCCGCGACGCCGTTAAAAGGCTGCACCAGGCAAAAGCTGCTCATTTCTTTCAAAATGTGTGACACACTTGAGACAGAACTGTACTAGGCTGGTAAAATAATGATTTTCCTCAAACTAAGCTTTCTTTTTCATCTAACATAAAATAAATTCTTTTACAAAGGTAAGTTGTCTCATGGCATGTATTTTGGCCTGAAAAAATTGATGTTTTGGTTATAGCGCGGTACCGCTTATAGTGCGGATTTTCGAGACTCCCGCGACATACGTTATATGCGGTCTACACTGTACTAGGAGTGGGCTATCTTTTGGTGCTTCAAATAAAATAGCACATCTGGCCAGTAATGGGGGTGGGTTATCTTTCTCGGGTGGGGCATCTCTCTGGATTTTACGGTAGTCCTTTCTTTCGTCAATACATGCCTATTCAGTCATAGGTCAGGTAGGCATGTGACTGAATCGACCTACAGGGCCTATTTAGTCGGTACCACTGCTAGCCTTGGGTCTTCGGCATACGCCGGTAGGATGCTCGTCCAGATCGAAACGGGCAGGAGTAGGGAGGATCACAAGATCCAGGAACCTTGGGTCTTGCGGTGCGAGCTTGCGCTCTACGCTGTCCGAGCCGCGGTGCACTAACAGACCCGACCGCCGGTTTTCCATTACATGAAAGAGCAGTGTCTCCCCTTTAAAGAGGCGGTGCAACGATGTTCTAACTTTGGCCTTGGCCAAGTAATTGTGGGAATTAGTCAAGGCCACCCATAATACGAGAAGTGGGAACCCTTTCTTTCTTGTGTGCGCTAGTTTTTAATCTACAAAGAGATTGAACAAGAAGTTTTTCGAGTGAGGTTCGGTGTCGTCTTTGGGACCAGCAGTCTTCCCTGCACGTTGGTCAACTTTTCAAGGTCACGCTTGCCATCGTCGAGGGATCGAGGTGGGACGGCTTGCCGCGGGGAAAGACGTAGAAGGAAACGTAGAAGACGTAGAAGGAGAAAGAAGGAAATAAAGGAAACGGTTTCCTTTATTTCCGATAGATGGATAGATGGCACCGCGAAAAAGGTCACACCATAGTTCCGATGACAACCACACAAGACTGCAAATTTAAAAAAAATATGGTGTTGTTTTTTTTCAATTGCAGTAGAATATCGATGATATGAATCTCGAGGGATCGCAGGAAATTTTTGTGTCATTCAAAATTCATACTAACAAAAAACAAGTCGCCTAACTACGTAAAAGCAAAGGGGCGGCTGTACGTGCAATTCATTGGTCACACGCCCGTCTAAAGAAGTCTGTAATGTTCTTCCGAGTCTTTTTTTTTTCGATGTCACCCAAACGGCACTTTTGGAACATGGAAGAACGCGCGTACCTGTCGTCGCTGACCTTGATCTCGGGCTCACTATGCGGCGCAGCACATCGAGGGCATGCAGTGTTTCAGCAGTCGTCGGTGGCTGCTTGTCATTAGTTACGTCGCCGTCGTTATCTCCACTACTTGACCATCCTTGCGGTGCCGTCACTTCGTCAACGATTGCCTCGGCAGTCCTTAATCCGCAAGTAGCGAGGCTGTCATCTGCGGTAATTAAATCAAAGGCCGATTTCTCGGCACAAAGCAGGTCTCAATCCTCAATTCTCAAGTTTTCCTCTGGTTCCGGAGGAGCAGCCACTCTAGGATTTGTGAATTCACACTTGCAAAAGCCGTCAGATAAGCGTTGATTCCACGATCAACGTCAATTCCAAACGTCATTTCTCACGTTCACTCGAGTCAGTCAGAGTTGCTGAAACCCATTTATCGCGTGACAATAAATATAAAGCAGCAACCCTGGAGTAAGCAAATGCGAGTTACTCCAGCGAGCCAAATTCTCATCACGCGACAACACAGAGCAGCGCTGGATGTGGGTGTGTTTTAGAAATTCGGAACGCACCTACGGTTACCGGGATTGCATGGTGCATATATAGAAAGAACGGCGAGAGAAATGACTCAAAAAGCCTGCTACAGTCGTAGGAGCCAAGTGATGCCGCCCCACAGGATGTGTAAACGTTGTTGATAATCGTTCCCATGATCCACCGCGGCCGAGAAAGCATTCGGACTATCCCGAAACGTAATATATTAGTCTTAACGACCTTCGGCCGGGAATTTCGAAAAATTTGTTTCGTACCGAAATTCGGACGAACCGTCGTCGTATCATCGAGATTCTACCGTATGCAGCAAATTTGCAGCATTTTAAATGAAGGTGCCACATTTTCTCCTCTATTGCCAATAGAAACGATGTAAAAAATGCGAGCCGTAAATTTTTCGACATTAAAATTGTGGCACTGTCCGAGTTCTAACGTGTCGCCTCGATTCGTCGGCGTTTGACGGGCATCACCTCTTTTCCAGGACGCGTCGGAGGACTTCGTGACGAACTTCCTGTCGGCGAGTTACCTGTGCTCCCTCTACGCCAAGAGAAAGACCTTGATGAGGCCAAACATGATTTTCCTCCAGAACCTCCTCAAGGCCTTCGGTGCCAGCATCGCCACGGCCTTCTGAAGCCGCCCACTTCCTTCAGACGCCGACAATGCTCTGTACATAGCTTCGTTTCGCCGACATTGTAAATAGTTTTCTTCTCGTCGTTGCATTTCCAACACTCCGTTCGCCCCCAAGCTGACAGTGCAGTGGAAGTTTGTCGCCACACTGTCGGCTCGGGGACGAATGTGCGGTCGCAGGCCCAAGAGGGAGGAAAGCGCCGCCTCGCAGGTTCGACCGCGTTCCAGTTTCTTGCGTCCACGGTTGTGTGTGGACAAAGTCGTTTACTCGTCAACATTCTCACTCTCTTCCTCGCGCCTTTTTAGTGTTTTAACTGTGAACTCGTGCTTTTTGTTTTTCAATGACAAAGTTGCGTTTGCAACGTTAACGGACGCGTGTACGGAAGCGTGCGACCCGCTCCACATAAAGTTTTCTGCGGATTGGTGTCGTATTTGTCTGTTCTCGTATTGCACCTAAAGTTCGGACACTTTTTCCTTTTTTTTCCTCTCAGGTATTTCAGCATATCACTTTTAATGTTTGCTTGTTTGTTTTTATTTTCAATAAAGTTGTTTGTCATTTTAGAGATTAGGGCAAAGGTGTTTGAATCGGCATCCCGATTTCGAGCGGAGGTCACAGTATCAAGAACGGGAGGGGTTTTAGGCCTTGTCATTTGGTGAACTGCTTTCATGAGACAGTAGGTTGCGTGCAAGCACTGTGATTGAGCAATTTGACCAGATGAGATATGTTTGCGCAGTTTTTGGTTTTTTTTTCTAGTGTATCTGAAGAACACTCGGCACGTTTCTGCTTTAGTTAAAGAGTCATGATGCAAAATCTTGACAATTTTTAAGTTATTCGTAATATGAAATCATTGCAAGCGGCTTATTGCTCAACCTTTAAGGGTTTTGAGTAACTTGTTGAAATGGATGGATAATGATCAGGAAGTTTGATGTCTGATAGCAGTGAACTGAATGCCTAGGTATACTAGGAATCTGTGTCTTCGAATAAACCCAGAAAAACACCCACCAGTAAAAGTTTTGTCAATTTGGATTTATTCGCTAAACTCTATACAGTAAAACCTCGTTATAACAAAACGGGATATAACAAACTAATGGATATAACAAAGCAATCATAATTCCCCTTGCTTGCTAATAGTGGGAAGAAATGGACATTGGCTATAACAAACTAATGGTTATAACGAAATAATTACGACCGCTCCTTCAACTTTGTTATAACGAGGTTTTACTGTATTTCAATCTCCCAATGCAAAAAATATGGTAAGTGTTGAAGGTCAATAGTCCTAAGAAACTGCCATCCCAGTTTCCCTTCAAATCTGAGGTCATTCACCATCTATGTCTTACCGTTTAACTCATCAGCATTCATTCAGGACAAGTCATTGTACTTCTGAGTCGGGATAAAAACCACTTTTCAAGCTTTCAAGTCTGGACCATATTATTTGTACTTGGAGTTGGAGTTGGGTTTGTACTATTAATTGTAACTGAAAGCTATGGGCCTCGCCTTCATTGTCCACGACGGCAATGAAAGCGAGGCAGGTAGCGGAAACCGCCTGTATGGATGGATGGATGTAAACGGCTGTATCCTTTGTAACGGGTGGTAGCTTGTGCCACCTAGCCTAATAGCCACGTCCCACTAGAGCGACAAACGACAGCGACACACAACAACGAGAGACAGCCTGTTTGTCAGAGTCCGCCGTCCCACCTGGCGGACACTACGCAGAACAGGGGACAAGGAAACTTGTTTCCTAGTGGCACTGGAGTTGTCAACAAAACACTTCAAAATACACAGACAAACAGAGTCTGGCGACGCGGTTTTCGTGCTTTGCTCTTTGGGCGTAAAACGTGCAGAAAAACACGGTGAAAGTGGAGACGATTGCTTTATTTCTTGATTAAAGCTTCATCTAGTCTTCATTTGCCATTGGCAACTTTCCGCGAACAGTCATGACAATCGACATTAAACATTTTCCGATCTTGGAATTCCCAAATCGTTCCTTTTTTGGGGGTCGTTCGAGGAATTCTAGGTGAGCACCACGAAATTTTATGCCGATTTTGAGGATGTTTATAACTTCATATCCAAGGCGCCTTTTGGAGAAGAATACGGCATCCCGATTATCACAAAACGTGATGTCAGTTTCCCGTCTGCCGGAACGGTTTGCCGAAACGTCATGTCCAACTTCGTGGCGAGCGGTCTTGCATTGGTCAGTCCTCGAACCTCGGTGTATCCATCCTGATGCAGTGGTGTAAAGACCTCGGTGTTTTGAAGCAGTGTTGCGGAGTTGCCACTCCGGAGTTGGAATGATTCCGGAATCATTCCACATTTTCGCGTCCCCGGAATGGAATGGGGGGGAATGAAATGGCGGCAACGTTGAGGGAATGGAATGGGAATGGAATTAGATGCCTTTTGCCCGGAATGAAATGGGCCCGGTTCTTTATATTTTTTATTCTTTTTTTTTTTACGTTTAGCTATACTCAGTTAGTCAGCGAGTCAGTTGTTCAGAAATAAAATGAGTGGGAAGCTGCAAATCCGCGTGGAGCCCTAGCAGACTTATACGCAAAAAAAAGGTGCAATACAAAAGAACAAGGGTCAAAGCAAAGAACAAAGAAGGGAGGGAAGGGGACGGCGGTGGCGCCTTTCACCAGTGAAGTTCAACACAAACCCGAATGCATCTGCACCTGTTGCACGGCTCAAGGGTACGCCATCAGTCGAGGTGAACTTGACCCACTGCTCTGGTGATCCGATACCCAGGCAGGAGGCCAGACGTGGCCTCGCTGTGCCGACCCAGTCTTCGTACTCCTCTGACTCGTCTCGAGCGCGCTGTTTCTCGGAGAGCTCGCACCTGTGCCGGCCATCTCGGGTCGCAATTCATAGGTCTCTGTTTGGATGATGCTAACCGAAACTTGAGGACTGCCATTCATGCGTTGGAGGCGGAAGGTCGGCAGGTAGGACCTTGACAACAGGGATGCTACCGTATTGTTTTATGAACCGTAACGGAAGATTAGACATGTGCTCCAGGATGCTTCAGGTGGTCCACCCTATTCTCGAAAATTCCAAATGCAACTGCCTGCACAGTCTTAAACGAGGTCACCTACAACGAAAGTATGCATCGTCCTTTCATACAGCAGCGTGGGTAAAGTTTCATGTTCAAGGCAACACCTACAGATACAAGAATACTAGTTCACTCCGCCGTGACGTCATCTGATCAGTGTTGACAGGGGCGCCCTTATTGGACAGGGAAGTGATGTTTTGATGGAATTTATTTAGAGGTCGAAGTCTTTTCGCATCACTGGTCAGACAGACAGGATGCCAGGGAAGGGGCCGCGGTCAATCCTTGATGGAAAGTTTTTTGAACCCATTGAAGACTCCTCTTCGTCCGGAACCACTACCTTCAAGGCGAAGCGCCAAGCCTGCGAGAAAGTAATTTCGGGAGAAAAAAACAAACAAAAAAAAACTTCCACTTCAAACTTAAAGCTTCATCTCAGTTGGCGTCTCAAAGAAATTTGAAAAATGTATTTCATTATCAGTATTTATATTTCTTCCCTCCCTAAAATGTTTTCCTGTATTTGATTTTCCAAAGACTTTCTGACTCTTTTTAAAACGTAGTTCCGATACGTATCGCGATACATTTTTACAGATATATTTGAGTATCAGTATTTTAGCTACTATTTTCCTCTATCCCAGTATTTCTATTTTCAAATACATTTTTTGACTATTTCTGCCCAACCCTGCTACGCAATGCAGCTGTCAAGTGTCAATTTTTACGTTTAAGAATTAGAGGAATGGAATGGAACGACTCAGCCATTCCAGGAGTGGGAATGGGCCCAGTGTCCCCATTCCTAGGAGTTGAAAGGAATTGAATTACCGAAAACTCTAATCCCCCGAATGGAATTGGAATGGAATTGGGGTGCCCATTCCCCAACACTGTTTTGAAGCACCATCTCGCACCCCAGGTTTTCGCGAGCAAAACCAGTCGCAGCAAATTCTCTTTCGCAACAAGGCCGCCAGCGAGCAAGCCACGACCCCCACAAGCAATCAAGGAACTGGAACTGCGGGAACGATCAGTGGCCGCCAAGGCCTTCTCTGAAGGTCAAACGGTGAGGCGAGCTACGGGAGGAAGGGCAGAAGGGAAGGAAGAGAGGCAGCCGAGGTTACAAGTGGGTGAAGGGGATAAGTTTGTCTTTGAGAGATGTTCCTCGGTGGGACTGCTTGCGGCGCTTCAATTTCAAGGACAAGCAGGAACCTGTTTGTCGCAAGTGTTGGCTGTTACAGTGGGACAGCATCCGCGACACGTAACTTTGTGGTGTTTCCAGACAAAAATCTGTGTTAGTCGCTCTAGGGGGACGAGGCTATAAGTCTAAAAAGACAAACATGATTCCTTCCTCCCTTCTAAGCCAATTTTCTCCCCCTAACTATCACCAGGATTACTTTTGGGGGATCGGGCAAAAAAAAATGAAGAAACATCACCCCCCTGCCTCTCTCTCCCCCCCACCCTCCCCCCTTTTCCATGAGGGAGTCGCCAATTTCCCTCTGGTCAAACATTGTCACCGTTAGATGGGTAGGGCAACAATATTAATGTTCAAAGAGTTGGCAGTTTGTATTTTTGATATTGGTTATCCAAGCACAAGTGACCAAAAACGTGTCACCTTGCTTCAATAAACTGCTATTCTGCTTCGTCGTTGCAAAGAAAAAAAGCTGACTATTTGCTGATCTGAAGCCGCGTGCGGCTGTTCCGGGAACTACGGTGACAGCGCCACTGGGGGATACGCGGAAGTCAACAAAAACCTGTCCCCCTCCGCTGCATTCGCCGTCAGCCACGTGGCAAACCGTCCTTTGTGTCCATCGCTCGCCGTGACCTTTGACGATGCTAATCCTTTAAAAGTCGACAATCGCGGAGGAAGCGGCTGGGGTCTCTGAAGAGAGAGCCCAAGGGGAAACCAGGTGGTCCCCCAAAGATGGTCACTCGAATGGCGACTTGGAGAGTTGAGAGGCACTTTGACCTTTGGTTTGTTTCA